AGCCGGCGGGGCATACACGTTTAAAGGGAACAGGTATGCGTGGCGGCGTCCCGGCCCAAAGAACAGCCCAAAAAACAGCCCATGGACAGCGGTGTAGCGACAGTCCTTTAGCCCTTATTAGGCCACAGCAGGTGCCCGGAGATGCGTTCCTAGCACTCACACCACACGAGACAACCTGAGAACAGATATTTCCTACATGTCAAACACCTTAAGAAAAAAATATAAACTGCCAAGCTATAAAAACAAACACTCACGCCATCATCTCTTCGTAACAATATGCCAAATTATATAAGATAAGGAAATAAATCTATATTATCTCTACCGTATGGAATCTTACCATGTGGCTTCTGCGAATTTTTGCAACACTGCATAAATAAGTGCAGGTACAAATTAGCATCCTATTTCGTAGCCCATACTCCATAGTAGCACGCGATGATGCAATAAAGGTGACGGATTTTTTTTTTTTACTACACCATAAACTACACACACCAAAGTGCACTTACAATTATTTACAAACTGATACTATATTCCTACACTGCAACAACTTAAACTGTAAAATAAACTACACGCAATACATTCCGCCTAAGAACCTCCCTACAACAACTCTCCACGCCCGTACTATACAACCGTAAGGAGTACCACAACCTACACACAACGCCGCACCTTCACAATGCTTTATATACAACGCTTCACTCTTGCTTCGTAGTCGCGATACCATAAGGACATCTTCCTCCATTCACAGTTTCTCGATACGCCTTCTTGATTGCCTCTCGTCGTTCCATTATTCATGTCCCCCCGATCGCTTGACCAAATGGCTATATCTATTCATCTCGACCGCATATCTATCGATTGATCAGTATTCAGAGCAGAGGTGCTTCTGTAGGCCTACGTTGCTACTTCGACGAGCCGCGAACACGAACTAGTCAACTCGCTGACACGACCAAATTTGGAAAGTAGCCACACTCACAGGCACAAACGCGCTATCTATCCAGTCGCTTAATTATATACTATATATGAATGAAAAGAGGGAGAGGGGGAGGGAGAGCGGGAGAGAGAGGAGAAAGAGGAGAGAGAAAGAGAGAAGAAATAGAGAAGAGAATGAAAAAAGTGAGACAGAACGAAAGACAGAGACGAGC